AGAGATTATATCTCTTGGCTGGCCTGGGAACGCCTTGGTGTTCCCCCGGATAAGCTGGAGGAGGTGGCTGGGGAGAGGGAGGTCTGGGCCTCTCTGCTTAGGCTGCTGCCCCCGCGACCCGGCCTCGGATAAAGCGGATGAAGATGGATGGATGGATGGATGGATAATTAAAAATAGAATGGGAGGGAGAGTATTCAGTTTTCAGGCCCCTGAAACCACCTTCTATAGAACCAGCTTCCAGTTTGGATTCAGGAGACAGACACTATCTCTACTCTTAAGATTAGGCTTAAAACTTTCCTTTTTGCATATAGTTAGGGCTGCATCTCGTGACCTTGAGTCCTCCCTTACCTATGCTGAAATAGGTGTAGGCTGCTTGGGGATTCCAATGATGCATTGAGTAGTTCTTCTTCACTTACCTTTCTCACTCCCTATGTGTTAATAGACCTCTCTACATTGAATCATACTTGTTATTAATCTCAGGCTCTTCTCCACAGCTTATCTTTTATCCTGTCTTCCTTCTCTCACCCCAACCGCCCCTCCCTGAGCCTGGTTCTTCCAGAGGTTTCTTCCTGTTAAAAAGGTGGTTTTCCTTCCCACTGTCACCAAAGTGCTTGTCCATAGGGGGCCATGTGATTGTTGGGGTTTTTCTCTGTATGCATTGTTCTAGGGCCTACCTTATAATGTAAAGTGGCTTGAGATTACTATTGTTTTGATTTGGCATTGAATTGAATTGAAAAACGCAAAAGGTGTTTCCTGGTAGTCATTACTATTCTTTAAGTGTGATTATTAATATGTTATTAGATAGAAACAGGCAGTTTTGCATTTTGCAGCTCTGTTTCCTGATTATTACACAAACACTCAAACAGTAATTGAGTGCTAATAAATTAGAAAGTACCATATTATTACATTCTTGTTTCTGCCTTGTTACCCTACTATTTCCACTTTTTTACCAAGCTGTAGTTCCACATTATTACCCCTAGATTTTGGGACTTACTATCCATTTACATAAATTTCAGCATTTTATTATTATATTATGCTACCATGATATTACTTCGATATTAAGTGGTTATCACTTTATAAGTGAGCTGTAATAACAAATGCAAACATATATACTATTCTGTGGCAATGTGTTCAATATTTTTTAATATTTTAAATCAGGCAATCTAGATGGAGATTATCTCTGCATAAAAACATTCATCAAAATGCTTAAATAGTTCTCGTATGGCATTCCTACATACATAACTTTGCTTTGTAATGCACCAAAGTTAGAATGAAATATCACCGCACCTGTAACGTTGCTGATTTCTCCCTCTGCACATCTTATACAGTCATAACAGCAAACAGGCCTTCCTTTCTGGAGTACCTTGTGTGTTCCTGGGGGACATTTCTCATTGCAAACTGACACAGGCACCTGAATGATCAAGAGCATTTAACCGTGTATAGACACTGAGAAAAAATTGTGTCTATGGTGTTCTATGTCAAACGATTTCTTAATTTTGAAGCATTAAAACCAAAATAAACAATTTAAGTACATATACATACAATAAAAAAGGAATTGTATGATAGCTTACCTGCTTTGAGTTTCTTGCCCAAATTAAAGACTTGTTTTGCAGTTTTAGCTGTTTCTCTGTAGTTAATGATATATCATAAAGACCAACTATGACAAACTCCACAACGCCGTTTTCTCTTGGCTGCCAGTTTATAATGTCATACTTTGCTGCTGGATCTCCATTCTCATTAAAGTAAACCTCATCTCCTTCCTTAGTTGTGAAATGGATCTTTCGTATGTGTTGCAGAACCTAAGAAGTATGTCATAATTCAATTCATAGCATGACAAAGATATTACACACCTACTGACTGAAAAATATGCAAGAATCAATTTTTAATTAAAAATCTTAATGTGAACACTGTCATGTAAATTAGTAAAAAGCTCACCATAAATGGATCTAGCTGCACATTTTTGTTACATGTTTTATTACAGCTGAGGATATTGTGAAGTGCATGGGCCACTGCATACACTCCTTTGTAGACATTGTTAAAGATAGGCATGAGAGACATGTCAATGAAGTTATTTTGAACTCCAGTCATATCTTCATGTCCAGTACACTCTCTCTGAATGTCTGCTGATGACTTCAACTCCTTGAATTTACAACTAAATGTTGTCTCCCAGAACTCCGTAAACAATTCATTATTAGATGGATTAATTGGCTTCTTATTCAGTATGAACTCTCTCAGGCCAGTGACATGTGCTTTGGGAATGGAAACACCAATGGCACCATCCAGTATGTGATGCATATCCATTTCTGCTGTTTGTGAATCAAATATCCAAGACTCACTGCCTACCCACTGGTACCCAGATAAGTTATGGTATGAAAACTCGGGTAGCAGGACATTAAAATCTGCGCGGGCAAGGAATGCAACAATCACCTTGGAGGTTGAAGCCTTTATAATTTCAATTATCTTTTGTATTTTCACATATGGATCTGTCCTAAAAAAAGATACAGAATACTCCAGACAGATGCCCAGCTGCTGTGCAGTTTCTGTAAATGTGGCCATGCCATTATTTCCATAATCATCATTAGATCGAATAGCTCCAACCCAAGTCCACCCAAAATACTTGACCAAATGGGCCAGGGCTCTGCTCTGGTAGTAGTCACTGGGTATTGTTCTGAGGAAGGATGGGTACTTGGTTTTGTCACTGAGACAAGCACATGTGGCAAAGTGACTTATCTAGAATTAAAAATAAAAAATAATAAATGAAAAAGACACAGAATGAAAAAAGATGAAACTGTTAAAAATAAAACGTTCAAATATAATGCAAAATTACAAAAAGAACAATTCTACTCGGTACTTGTACATAAGATGCACCAGGCAAATATATATAATACCCACCACTGGAATAAAAAAAGGTCCAATGACAGTAGCTACTGCTACGGTTGTAGAAGAAGATGTTGTTCCTATAATGGCCTGCACATGTGCAGGTCTGGTACATGATGTCTTGGATGGTACAGACACATTTTCATTACCATTAGCCAAAGCTAGTGTAACTCCTACACTTCTGGCAACAGATCCACAATTATCATAGATTTTATAGCCCACAGAGAGTCCTGGCAGTAGGTCTGTACTGTTATTAATCTCCTCAATGGCAAAAAGCATAGCCTGGGCAAACTGCAAATCTCTGAAATTTAAACTTAATTGAGACAATTATGATTAATTTGCATTGCATTGTGTTTCTTAAAGCAAACATAAATAATCTGGATAAATCTCAAAATATAAAAAAAGCATTTCAAATTAAAGCATTCAATGGAAGGAAATGAAATAACTGAGAAAATCAAAATACATTTTACTCCTCTTTTGATAGCCAACAGATTCCTTAAATGTAAATTGATTTGTATTGTGTCATTTACCTGATACATTGTAGTGGCAGAGGTTGGTTCATGTAGGAATCTCTTCTATCTTTCCAGCTTGTGTGAAAAGAAAAGATAGCACCCAATATAATATCCCCATTCTTAGACAGCAGTGGGTTCTCAGGATCTCCTCTCTGCCTGCACACTGGCTCCTCAGCATGAGAGAGAGATGCCACCAACAGCAGATGCAGAAATGCCCATCCATGCTCTGGCAATCTCTGTGTCGATGTCATTTCTTGAGCTAAACTCTTAGTAGCATTAAAGCACCGCAATGTAGATGAAGGTATTTATACCTTTTGGTGCAGCAAAAGAAAAAATAGAATAGAGACAGATCATTCCCATTTGATGTACAGGTTCAGCAAACGGAGGGACTCGCCCAAATTTGCAATTTAATGTTGGTTCATATACAGAAAATAACAATACACTGTTAGCCTTTGCAGTAATTTCCATAGCTTAGTACTGCAAAATCATCAGTAAAAAACTCTAAAGGATGTTAGCAGTTTAGTACTGTAATTTGCATGTAATTGTGGGAAAATTCCATGAGATTACATTATTTTTACGGTAACTCACCGTACCCATGGAAACAGCTGTAAAATACAGCAAATGTAACAATTGGTGATGTTACTGAGATTACTATTACACCATCCGGATTTCTGTTGTTTTCTACCGTAGATCTAAGAGTAATTACTTAAATCCTCATTCAGAGTGTATTACTATAAAATGCGATTCACTGTGAAAGTAGTATAACATATAAACTACAATATACAGCGTAATTTTTAACTGAAGGAGTAAGTTGCAGCCACACTAAAATTTAATTCCTTGAACTGAATGGAACCTCATATATTAATAAATGTATTTGTTTATTCAAACAATGTGAAACATTATTAATACTGTAAGGTTAGTATTGTGATAGAGTCGAGTATATTTAATTATACTCTTGTAGACATTATGACATTATGCTAGTACATTTATGGTGAACAAAAAGTACATCTAAAAGTTAATTTCAAGAATACTGTTATGTACTAAAACGGGGGCCAATATAATCCCAAGAAGCATTATTAGTATACGTACTAGGTAGGGTATACTTGGGAAATATAATTGAAGTATACTTATTTTTTGTATGGCCAGCAACAAAAACTAATGGCTACATTTAGAGTAATGTTTAAAAATGACTTCATTTAGCAGGGTGTTCCTTTGTTCTCTTCTTATTCTTTCTTATACTGGACCTTCATTTGGTTTGTATAAGGTGGTACTTTTTAAGACACCTCTGCCTAACTACAGTGAACTAACCTAATAATATGCTCTGGTCGTCATTTTACTCAAGTTAAGGTGTCACATCCATGAAACTTACACCACTAACCAGCATCTGTCCTACAACTTCACTCTCAAAATTAATAAATTCTGGGACAAGCAGAAACTGTATTTTTAGCGGTGCATTTTGTGGCAGGCCAGACTGCTATTAAATGCACTCTCCTAAACAAATAATTCCTTTGTAGCACCACTCCGTCTTGGTTCAGAAGAGATGTCCTGGATATACGTGATAATGTAACACGGGTGTTTATGTTTGTTCATGTTTAGCGCGTTGGGTTGTGTTTTTAAAGCGATTGTTACGTTTTTGAAGCTTTGTAATACGACAGGTGCGATAGCCGACACCACACCTTCACCTGACGTACAATGTGACGTATGACGCACACATCGGGTATTCACTTTCAAAACAACAATGGGGATAGAAAATATTGCTCGAGGTGGTTAATGCTCCTTTCGCTGGTTGCCAACCACCATTAAATAACAACAAGAGGAAAATATTGATCTGTTTCTCAAGTTTTGCACGTTTAAGTCGCAATTCAGACTCAAACAAAGCTGCAAAGCAGGAGAACAACATAACCATCAACTATTGATGAATAGACCGTTAACATGTGCAACTTAGAAGTAGTCAGAGTTAACTGGATGTTCAATCGGGTTAAATGCAAGGTTGATTGGATTATATCTGAAGATCGTATGCTAGTCGTGATAACTCTGCTAGACTCCAAATTGCTCGTCCATGCGGGAGTATCTCAAAATTAAATGAAACCATATAACACTTTTTCCCTAAAACGGACTGACATGGAACACATTAAAGTTGGATTGACACCAGCTAATCAGTCTGAAGGTAAGTGTTTTTTTCACTTATTCGAGAGAAGTCAGAAATGCGTTCTTAGTACTGTTTGTTTTGACTTTCAAGCTACCCTACCAGGATATTTTCATTCAAATGCTAAGAAAAAATGTCAATATCTATGAATGTGGAGCCTCAAAAGACTAGTTAGGTAATAGTTGCCAATGGATTTATGAGACTTGATAGAAACTTGGACGTTTGCAACAGGTGAATCGGTGAACTACCGAGGTTGCGCCCAAATGCTTAAAGCTGTTAAACCCATTAAAGAGTCAAGCTCAAATATCTTTTCATTTTTGTGCACTGCTCTCTTGTCGGCACACATTTTCTGTTTATTGAAGCCTTTTGTGAATAATTTTGATCATGTAAAAACTGGGAATTGGTCCCTATTGACAATACTCTTA